GACGGAGTGAACCCCATAGTCACAAAGACCTTCTGTTCAATGATGGAAACTGGTAATCTAAGCCCCGGGAATTGGAGTGGTGAACCACATAGGCTAGGCATGGGATGGGAACCTCGCGATCAGCGTAATCGACAGTTAGGGACACTGAGTGATATGGCTGAATGTCCCAGATAGTAGCTCTCGTGCACCTCGTTTTCTGCGCAATGTCTGAATATCTAAATTCTCTGCTTACCGCATTCGAGCCTTACCTTCATCGAATATGGGTAGGCAAAAGACAAACCCAAAATACATGGTTCTGTCGATCTAAGGAAGCCCCTTCCAACGAGGTATAAACCTTTAAGTCAAGTCACGTACATGTTTAATGCACTCCGAGAGGTGAATACCAAGTATAATGCACCATCATTCTTCCTATTTAAGTTTCTACCGATCCTGATTAGCACACAACAGATTTCTGTGTTTAAATCAGTGGAAGAGGTGATCACTGTGAGAAGGGACTGTCTGAATTATTTCATTTTCCTTTTTGTTCAGAAAAGTTTATCCCTCAAACATCTTGTTTTTCTCCGTTTTTTTCCAGTTTCATCTGGGTACAATGTTTATAGATACCATGGGTTCAATGCAAAATATAGAAACAGATTTGATTCTCGCTAAAACGTTTTTTCGCTGCGTGCGGGCTGATCACTTATATTAGCCTAAGTATTTACTGTCTGAAAACCGCAATAAAATAAGTGAATGGCAAATGACTCAGTCAATCAGTCCTACTCTTTTTTTCTCTTGTTTGATCACGTGTTTTGGGTTGTCTTGGTTATCGTGCTAGATATTCGCGAAGAGGCTGTAAAGGAAGCCTTAGCTCGTAACGGACGCCAGCGTCAAGATGCTTTGCTTCCAAACAAACGACGTGGTGACACAGGTCGTTTAACCAGTTCACAGCAAACCGCTCGGCATGATGAACAAGGTGAGTTGTTTGATGGATCTGATTTTCCAAGCGTTGACATGATTGTTTCGTATGTACACATAAGATTGTTTTTCTAACTCAGTTCCCGACCACTTAGATACGGGGACATTTTAAACTTGCCGTCAGTCACTCCTATTCCGAATTAGTCTGATTCTATATTGATTAGATTTCAGACAAATTAAGATAAAAATAAAATATATATGATATCACGAAAAAAATATTCCCAGATGAAATTGTTGAAGTGATCCGTTTGATAGCAAATGTGTAATGTGGTGGCGCAGTGGTTTAGTCGTTGCCATCGACGTGCTTTGCACCCTTTGGTCCGAGGTTCGAGCCCCGCCACCGCCACCCAACTTTCGTGGTAGACAGCTTTGCTGTCGTCCGGTTCTGCAAATGCCTGAACTAGCGGAGTCCTATGTGGCTCGCCACTCCAAGTCCTGGGGTTTAGGTTGCCGGTTACCATCACTGAACAGCAGGTCTTCGTGACTGTCGCGTCCGCCTCAACTGCGATGCATCACACGCTGGTGTGTAATACAAAAAAATAAGTGTAGACATATATTGTGAAAGGAAAGCCAGTTCTAGCCAAGAGCATTCGTATCTACTTCCCTTACACCCGACGAAATGCTCCCATACGACCAAGCGTCTCAAACAGCCTGTTCTGAGGAATCATCCATACTCACTGCCTTCTCTTGGCGGAGGTGTTTTCCCACCAAAGTGAGATGACGAAAAGCCGAT